ATAGATGAGAAATACCAAGTGTGGCAGAGGAGTGTCACAGCCCCCTGTGTACACGTCTGTGTGTGTTTGTGTCTGCTGAAGTGAGCAGCAGAGAACATAAGCAACAGCTCATTGGTCTGCACTGTGAGAGGATGGCAGACTGAAGAGCTGCGGGGAAAAAAAGGAATCTAACTTGCATTTCAGCCGTCATTTTATGAAGCTCTCACATTTCCGTCTGACTTTTTAACTGTTTTTTTCTGTTACTGCAGACAAGTCTAAGCTTTGATAGCTTGAGAGACACTGCCAGCATCCCAACAATAAAAGCTCAATTAGAGTTATTGGCACTTGTGTTGTTTCGTACAAGCCAGCAGACCAAAAGTCAGGCAGCCAGTCAGTCCTCCAGTTAACCAGTCGGCAAGTGATTTGTTCAGAGTGTTAGTCAGTTAATGCTGCAGCTCACTAGTCAGCAACTAAGCCAGCGCTGGATTACAAATCAGGGAGAGATTGGCAGCCAAAAGACTCTCTGGGCACCATCCAAGCCTCTCTCAGATCATTTCTTTTAATGACAAAGAACACAGAACACAGGATTTAAGGCTAGAAGAAGACCCTTTTAAAAAAAAATCAGGGTGCAGAATTAATCTGGGTGGCTGAGGATGAAGTTTTCAGTTCCTTTTACGACGTTTTGCTTGTTCTGTTGGTTGCTCGCTGCAGCTGTATTGTTGTTACTTGACTTTTTGCCATTTAACAGGAGTTACCTTTGAGATGCGGAATGAAATTAAACGTAAACATAATGAGGACAAAGGAAAGGAGGGGAGAATGTCATCCGTGGGAGGTGACAGAAATCTGCTGTGCTGTTTACCGTACATGGCTTTCATTACAGCCGTGAATGTCAGGGAAAAAACAAACTGCCTGACACAGCCAGACACCAGAAAGAAAAGGTCCAGTGTTGGCAAAAGTCAACAGCACTAATTGCATACCCAAAAACTTATATAACAAAGTAAGTACAAGATACAACATGCTCTAATAATTAATTTAAAAATCTCATTTGCAAATTTCATGCTTATTAACACAACCACACACACAAAAATCCAACTTTACAAACATACAGGCACTCTTAATGGAGCTCTGCCGCTCATAAATGGAGCATATGTGGTTTCTGTGGACACATATTTCACACTACTTTGTTTACTTAGCTGTAAAATATTAAGTGTTACCCTGCTCATGGCTCAGGAGGGGAGGCCCTCTAAATGCATTACTGAGATTGTAGCACACGTCCACACACATGCACACTTTTGTTCATGTGTGCACCTTAGAGCTGATCAGTCTTGTTTACAGACATCTTTCTTAACCATGAAACCACACACAGAGTAAATCATCTCTCTCTTTGTGGCAGCCAATCAAGAGCCTGTACATTCACAGCAACAGTCGAGGTCAAGCTGAACCATCATTTATTGTTACTGCTGTTGGCACAGACACACACAAACACAACCATCCACTGCTTGTCCCTCCTCTCCTTCAAACACACACACACACAAGCACTCTGACAGAAGCACAAGGACAAATATAAACACTGACACTGCACACACACACACACACACACACACACACACACACACACACACACACACACACACACACACACACACACACACACACACACACACACACACACACACACACACACACACAGAAATATAACTATTTTGGGGCAGCTGTGGCTCAGTTGGTAGAGTCATCACCTCTCAACCAGAATGTCGAGGGTTCAATCCCCAGCTGGGCAGCTTGGGCAAGACACTTAACCCCAAATTGCTCCCACTGCTTTGGTGGTGGTGTATGAATGGGATTAGTTACTTCTAATGGATGATTCTACATAGCAACCATTACCATCAGTGTGGCAATGGGTGGGTGTGACATGCAGTGTGAAAAGTGCTTTGAGTAGTCTGAAGACTAGAAAAGCACTATATAAGCTCAACTCTCTTTACCATTTTGAGCAAATGCACACATAAACCTCACACAAGAGGTACACAGCAGCACATGAACGCACATTTACACCCATCCAGCCAAACAAACAGCGACAAAACAGAAATGTATACCCCCCTAAAGAGTCAGGGACACATGAAAGGAAATCACACACAAAAAAAACATACCCACACAAACACACACACACACAATTCTGATAACACTTGGCAAAAAAAATCCAGTCGAACCAATTACAGCTTGCTCGCTTGAAAATCAGCCCTCGCTTTTAACCTTTCGATGCCAGGGAGCAAAGAGAACAAAGTCTCCTGCTCTGATCAAATACAATACAAACACACAACTATGGAATGATAGCCTTGGATGTACATGACTATTTTTACACTGAAAACACCTTTTCTTATCATCTCCAGAAGGACACAACTGGGATGAGAGGAGTGACGTTCAAGGCAGCTACAGTCTGTAGCTGACAGGAGGTAGACCATGATGTTTGACTGACACCAACAATCATACTGAGTGATCAGTAACACGCCTGTTTACTGGAAATTAATCAAAAGAGTATACACTGTATTACGCTGCTTTATGCTTAATTTGTGTCATTATCCATGTCACTTTAACATACAGTTGAAGTTCAAAAGGGCTGGCTTTACATTGTATTGTGGTCAATAGATTATATTTTATGGGTCAAATAGTTTCTGGTATTCTCTCTGATGTTTTCCAGCTGTTTGCCTGAACTATCATCAATCTGCTGCCATCGTAAGGTATGACAAGAGACTATTAATCACATAGAAACTTTAGAAAGTTAAGTGGGACTTCAACTCATATGTAGTTGAGTATGAGACGATTTGGACAGAATCAAAGCTTAGTGAAGAAATGTACTACAAATAAAGCACAACATTAACTGGCACTGCTGGCCATTTTTTTTTTCATTTCAGTGTAGACAATCATTCAACTGTGAAGGATATTCATTCACCAATACTTTTCTGCCAAGGTCACGTTATCATCTCCTGCAAGACTGAATCTTAATAGACGTTTCAATCTTTAGAGTTGCTATAACTGTAAACCAAATGAGCACAAAGGGTCTTCTTCAGGGCGTAGATGTGTCAAGATGCAGTTGAAAGGGAGGTCAACCATGTGAGATGTATGTAATCTATCGTGACACCCCATATCCTCCTTTTCCTTTTAACAGCAGTTATTTGGCTGTGGGAAAACAGACTCCCAAAAACTGGGCATACTACATTTTTTAACAAGTAATATATGTGCTGAAAATTGTTAGAACAAACACACACATAGACGTGTTTCTAAATGTGCATACAAAACAAAAGCATGCATGCGCTCACACAACTGCTGTTGCACCATCACACCGCTCAGCTGATCATATTTCACTGCAACACCCGAAATAAAGTTCAACAGTCAGAGGAGGAGAGAGAGGAAAAAGGGAGAGAGAGACACAGAGGGGAGATAGAATAAGAGAGATAGAAGCTATCGATTGGCAGGAGTTGGTTCAATCTGGGATTGAACTTGATCAAAAACACAGAGCTTCGCAACAGGAAGCTCTCTGATTCGCCTCTGAAGGAGAGAACAGAGGAATGTTCACACTCCGTTCTTCCTTTGCATCTCTCATTCATTTTTATTTCTCTTCCCACCCCCGGCCGTGCCTTTTAAAATAATTCTTTCCCTCTTTTTTCTTCCTTTCTAGGCTCTTACATCTTTCACTTTCTCTCCTTTGTTTTTCACTTCTCTCTTGTTTCTCTCGTCGTCTCCCTCTCCCTCTCTTATCCAGCGGCTGGCTTATTAGCATTCTCTCTGTACATATAATTGATTCCTCATGCCTTCCTCTTGTGAAAATGTCATTCATAATTCTGTGTGATAGCTAGCTGGCTTGCTCTCTGGCTGGATGACTGAGTGGTTGGCTGGCTGGCTGGCTGGCTGGCTGGCTGGCTGTGAGGCAAAGTGGCCACTGACCCATTTGTAGCAGATACAAAGAGACTGACAACCAAATCTGATTATAGCAACCGGACCGGGGACCCTGTGAAACGAATGGCCTAAGCCAGACTGAGCCTAAGCTGTCATTCATCCTTCTGGGTTTTTTTGCTCTTTGTATTTAACCTTTATTTCAGCCTGGCAGGTAAATTAACAGCAAATTCACATCACTGCTGATGAAGGCTGAAACTCAAGGAGGGAAAGGACTTTAAGAAGGAATTAGAGAGGATGTACTTTGGGTGCACTCTTGACCTTCTTTTTTAGCTTTAATGAAAATGAACTAAAACTAAGTGGAATTAAAATATCAATTAAACAGCCAGTGTGTGTGCGTGTGTGTGTGTGTGCGTGTGTGTGTGTGTGTGTGTGTGTGTGTGTGTGTGTGTGTGTGTGTTCAAGTGTTTGCTTAACAACCCTAATGAGACAATGGGCAGCTGACAGTTGTGTTGACCAACTCATACATATGCATGCACACACACGTTTCGACAGACTTACACACATGTTGCCTGCATGTAGACAAAGAGTGTCAGCTGGAACACACACCAAGACAACGAAAGAAAATGATGAACGCACAAGCTGAGAGATGGAGATTCAGTTAAATGCCACCTACAGAGCCTGCCATCAACATGATATCAAAGGCACCTGGGTAGAGCTGAAGGAGGGGGTGTATGTATGTGTTTAAGTGTGTGTGTGTGTGTGTGTGTGTGTGTGTGTGTGTGTGTGTGTGAGTGTGTATGTACATAACAGGGAATCACTTAGCCCAAACACTGCCTATAATAAGCAAGGGGAACAGCAGAGACAGGCTGCGAAGATGAACAGACGTACAGAAAGACAAGGAAAGACTTGAGAAGAAAAAAGAGACGAAGGAAAGAATGATAAGGAGAAAAGAAAGAAGATAAGAGAAACATCGACAAAGAGCAAGATGAGGCTAGAGGGAGAACAGGGTGACAAGGTGAAACGGAGACATAAATAGCAAGACAGGAATAATAGTCGAGTGACAGACATGAACAGAGATGCAGCGACAGACAGAAAAAGAGAGGGAAAAAGAGACATAAGGAGGTACTTACCGGATGCCTTCCCTGAGGGTACATGATCCCAGGAGAGGAGAGGCTGCCAGTCCGTTTGATGGCCAGGTTAGTCCCCTGGCCCTCCACTCCTCTGCCCTCCACTGGTTACACACCCACTCACACACACTCACACACTCAAAGTCCTGCCTCTGCTCCTTAGCTGGGTTGAACACAGCAGTGTTTACTCCTCACAGTCTTTCTCCTCCTTCACTTTCTTCTGAGGGAGAATTCCTATTGACACACAACTTCTGAGTTTTCAATCTGTTGCCTTGTTTATCTAACAACGTCATGATAAAAAGGGAGCAGCAGACTTTGCCCCCTTCTTCTCCTCTCCCTTCTTCTCCACAGTCTCAGTTTTTCCTCCTCTCTTTCTTTCTCTATCGACTTTCTTGTCTTTCCTGTGGTGTCTCTCCCTCGCTCACTCTCTCTCCTCACCCTGTGATCAGTCAAGGTCCACACATGACAGAGAATTTCATCCGGGCAGGCTCTCCTCCTCGTCTTCCTCCGCCTCCTCCTCCTCCTCGTGCCCCTTCACCCGACCACCGTCCAAAAGCAAAACATACGAATGTAAACACACTCTCAGCTCCGTCCAAACAGTCTTCCTCTCTCTGCGTTTTTCCTCCTCACCCTCTCTTTGACACGCTGAAGTCTCTGCCTTGACTGCAGCCGCAGAAAAGAAGAAGGATAGGAAGGAGGAGAAGAAGAAGAAGAAGAAGAAGAAGAAGAAGGGAGGGAGGGGAGATGGGAGTGAGAGAGAGAGAGAGAAAGAGAGAGAGAGCTTTGTTTTTAATCTAAATGTGGAAAAAACACGAGAGGAAAGCAGGAAAGAACAGCAGGTCAGTGGAGGATCCAGCGGGCTTTTCAGCAGCAAGCCCTAGACTGTAATATATTGTGCCTGTTGGCTTCAACACAAACACGACAGGCTGCTAAAGCTCCTCTTAAGGTGGAACTGAGTAGATAGAGACACCAAGTAACACAGAGAGGGGCGGAAGGAGGGGAGAGAGAGAGAGAGAGAGAGAGAGAGAGAGAGAGAGAGAGAGGCAAAGAGAGAGATGGATCTCTTTTCAGTTGTGGTCAGGCAGACAAAGCAATCAGTCATGCACAAAGACTTAAGCTCAAAGTGATATGAATCGAGATTCGCACACACAAAGGCTTCGACACTCATACACAAATTCATGACAGCTCTGTGGACACACTTGTTACTCAACACACAGACACACACATGCATGCACACACACACACAGCACAGTTGCAGATATAGACATAACAGTTACTCAGAGTGATACGTTTATTACACAGTTAACACATTGCATTCAAATGCATCTCCCTGGCTATCCGATCTCGCTTAATCGCATATAAATCCAGGTGTAAACACACTTGACACGCACTGACAAATAGCAATCATCTAACGCATTGCATCCAGATGTATGTCAGGTGTGAATGCAACACCATGTCAGACCACATAGGTTAATCAAATCCTACCGAGCACAGAAACTTCATAATGAGAGCAACAGAAAAGTAACACAGAGTTAAGCGGTTTGATGTCCAGAGGTTCATTATGACTCACCAGGCTAAAATGTAGGAAAAAAAAATGGAGGAGTAGTGTACAAGTGAAGCCATGCGTTGGGAGGTGGTCTTTTGGAGAGATTTTTTTTTTTTTAAATGCTGGAAGGGATTCAATGTTTTCTTTCTCAGAAACATTGAATCATTTGGAGTTCCTTCAATAGAAATTCTTACAATATCTACATTAAAGTAAGGGCTATACTTGTGGAGAGATATCTGGCAAACCACACAGTGCAGGGCCAACACAACAACATCCACATAAAACCAAATATACGATCAAAATAAATGAGTCAGGTATCTTGTTACCAATGTAACACCCCATAAATACCTTGCTACAGCAGGATAAGAATGTCCAAATGTCTACTTTTGACTGTTGGCTCCGATGCACATGATATTTAAAGGACAGCCCAGAATGGACCTGCACACACTAACCCTTGGTATTTAAAGCCTTTCTATGTACAGCGTGGCAGACTGGCCCAGCCGTCTTTTGGCGCTGTTTATAATGAGTTTATCCAGGGCAGCTCTGCCTTTGAACTGATCAAACAGCCATTAATCCGACACTGTAAAATCGGACACAGTCGTTCTTGGCATCCGTGGAGGGTTTCCAGTAAGACAGAAACAGCATTTGATAACAAGAGGGTTAGCCAGAGGGCAGCCCCAAAGCTTCAATTAAGGTCAGATAGAGATATCCTATTATCCAGTGTAGTCTAATAACAGACACTATGGGTCCTTTTTGGGGAACTCTCATGTCAGTTTATTTTTACCTGTTCACACGCAGCAAAGTCTGAAAGTACGAACTCCACTGTGAAAAGTTTAAGCATCTTTCCTGATATCTCACCTGATGGTTAGTAGGCATTGAGCACTTTTTTAAAGAAGACATAATATGTTCGTAAAGGTATGTCTGTATAAAAGGCGAGAGGGGGTCTTGATGTGAAGACACAAGTGTGTCAGGTCTTAGACATTATTAGACAGGAAATATCATTTACACTGTGCTGTGCTGTTAGAAAAAGACACCTCACTTAACCAATCAATAAATGATTGTATGTTGTATGGAAATGGACTCGGTAACCTGTAAACATGTTTTGTATACAGCATATAAGTTTACATTATTTGGTTAACAAAAATTCCAACATGGTTCCATTATCTGTATCAGTGAGCTCATGTTGTAAATACATGGCCTTTTAATGCGGTTTCATTTTAAGGGTGGTCAAAGACAACATCTTTGAAGGCCCACTGTAGTAATCAGCATTATCTAATTGTCAAGAATGGATTAGCAGGTCATTACTCCTCTGACTCTTAAAACTGGGCTTTAGACAGACACACAGACACACAGACACACAGACACAGAGATACTTTTTTGATCCTGAGGGAAATTCAAACAGGGAGACATACAAATACACAGATGTACCAAAGCATCAACACAGACCCAAAGCTTGCAGATGTATTTACACTTCCTAACACTATCTCTAGCTATGGCACATTGTATGTTGAGAGTTTGTCAGGTCTTATCTCCCCAAGACGACAGTGTGAATGTTAAGTAACTATCTCTTTAGGAGATAATATAATAAATGTCAGATTACTCACCCTCTGACTAGAGACCATTAATAATGCTTTATATCAATACCCACAGCGACAACAACAATAACCATTCCCAACACTGGATGTTTTATTATTATGGGTGTCAGTTTTAAAGTGCGTGATTTAAGAGATTTCATCCACTTCTTCCGCTTAATTAATCTAAACTGTTAAGAATAAATTCGACACTTTTGTTTAGATTGGAAAAGCCAGTATATAAGCAACCATTTTGAAAACGTACTATAAAAAAGTAACATGCTTTCAAGGCCGCCTTAAGTAACTTTTTTAAAACTTGCTATTATTTTCTACAACAAATGGGGGGGAGTGGTAAAAAATGTCATTTGATTTCATACTAAAAGAAGAGTGCATGTGTTCTACTCACTTGTGATGTGGTAACACTGTACATGAAGTACTTCAGGGATACAGAGCTGATGGGATTCACAGAGGAGAGTCAGCACCTTCAGAGTGATGGTCAGCATCCTGAACACAGACAGACAGAAAAAAAAAAAGAAAAAAACTGCTTTCAAAGGTACAGTAAAGACAATGACAACACAGCTCTCAAATCCCTGCGGGTGAAATTTGCTGACCACAAGGCCTAAATGAAGAATAGCTTACATAAACACCAACAGCAGAAGAATTGCAGCATTCATTTGTGTTTCATTACACACTTAACAACACACTGTAGGTTATTAAGCCATATTCAAACCGTTTTACTATTTGGCTTAATTGGCAGATAACAACAGGTCAGCTTCATATCTTCTCATATGTAGACTACGTAGCAAACTGAATAAATGCAAAGACACTAGTTGGTCCTTCACACCACTGTCGCTCACTTTCAAAACAGGTGAATTGTACGTTTGGAAACTGCAGGTGGCTTTTACTCGTTCTTAGATCAACGACAAGCTCTTACGGCAAAGGGACCAAATTCAATACGAACATGTACTGTCGAAATTGCTACCTGCAACTCTTGGGTTCCACCTTAAAAGCTCTTGCTTGTTGAGAGCTGTCTCTGCACTCTGATTGGTAGAGGGGAAGCCTCGCTCTAACCAATCAGTGTAAGGGTACCCCACGTTGGGTTCTGATGTCATTGGGCTATCAGGCCAATCGTGGGAAGACCCTGCTGCTGAATGGGTGTGGGCGGCGGCGACGGCGGCGGGGTTGGAGGGGAGCTGAGGAGTCTGTAGGGATTGTGGGCATTGAAGTCCCAATTATTCTGCACACATAACACACTCGAGCACGCGCACACAGACATACACACTCTCCCGCGCGCTCGCCTACACACGCTGTCAGTCACGCTACATAAATGCTCGGTAAATTCCGCCGTTAATTTCAATCCCGCTATTTGTGCTGCAGCGCGCACGCACACACACACACACACACACACACACACACACACACACACACACACACACACACACACACACACACACACTGAGTAAACACATCAATTGAAAGAGTAGGCCTAGTCCAGTTGGAAATTAAAGATTTTTTTCCTTGCCAATTTTCTTTTTTTCCACTTCAAACACCGTAAACAAAATAAGCAAATGGATGGCCTTCAGATGGCAAAATTAAAATAATGAGGCATAAGGAACAACATAAATCATATAGCATACAGGAATATAAGAAGTCAGCTGTGACATACAACCTGCAGTGTCTCTGTTTGGGCTTTGAAATGCAACAGGTAGTTTACTCCTGCTGTGCTGTTTTCTTTAGATTTTTTTCCCCTTCTTTTTATAAGGCGCTCTCATTCTAAATACATGAATACAAATTGAAGTCAGCGACACAAAAGCAAGGGGTTGGTACCTCACTGCTGTTTTTATTAAACTCTATCTCTGTTTCCTATTTAAAACGTAAATAAAAGCACACACACTTTGTACCTTAATGTACTTTCTTGTCACATGCATCTAATTTCAGCGTGATATTAAGATATTTAGCATTTCTTAAAGATCACATTTTATAACTCAGCAGTTACCGGATAAAAACAAAACCTTCTGACACCCGTTTTTGTCGGAGAGAGGCTGACGTAAACCTGTTAGGACAGAGTACATGCATTTTTCTCTCAAAAAGCATACTCTCATATTCAGGAAAATGCAATATACGTGTTGGGAGAAGAGTTCTGGACTGTATGGACTTGTGAAAGAAAACATCCATCCACTAGCATAGTGACATCATCTCACACTGGGATGTTCAGTGCAACTGGAATTTTCTGTAAAGCTGCCTCTCCACCACCTGCCTCACCCACAGTACGTAAATCTTGGCCGACATTGACCGGGAGAGTGTGTTTGACCGGAGGAGAAGGAAGTCTGGAGTGTGTGGCTGCATGTCCCATTTGGCCTTTTGAGGGTACTGCTAATGGACAAACTGGCACCTCTTCTTCTTCATCTGCATCAGGTTTATCCAGGATTGATGTTTAGAAACTGTCAAGTGTCTCTCTGAGAGTAAAAGTCTGTCATTTACAATTGTCATTTCAGGTTATTTGAAATAAGACAGTGTGCTGTTGAACATAACCAGTCCATACATTCAATTCAAAGTTGATTTTGGTTAGAAATGTTACATATCAATCAATCTTTATCTGTATAGCGCCAATTCAAACTTACAAAAATCAGGTAAAATACTTTACTCTTTGTTACAGCATAGCAGTCCTCCTAGTTCACAAAAAAGGCTGAGTAACCAATATCTATGACTTTTTTTTAAACAGGATCATTTTTCAAAAGCATCAGAAATCTTTTTGGGATTTCCTGTTTGCAAATG